GGACATATGGCTGCAGAAGATCAGTGAGATAGGATGGGGCGGAACTGCTCAGTGATTTAAAAACATACATGAGAATTTTGAATTGGATACGATGGTGAATGGGTAGCCAGTGCAGGGAGGCCAAAACTGGCGTGATGTGCTCACATTCAGCTCAGTCTATTTAAGAGACTGAGCTGAATACAGCACCTCAGACTGAGGAAGTCTCTCGGATGAGAGACGAAACGTTTCTATTTTTTTGTTTTTGCTTTGTTTTGTTTTTTGTTTTGTTTGAATGTCCAGAGGACCAGATTGAACTTTTTTGGATCATTTACAAGGTTTGACCAAAACGGCTTCAACTCCGTTGTTTCTCAACATAAGATGAGCGTGAAAGGCTGAGGACGACATGCATTCCTTCAAAGAATGCTAGGCCTTTATTTATTCTGAGAAGTGATTAGTACTATTCTGTCAAAGCATGTGTATTAGAGCGATAAATCCCTCCTCATTTTCTAATGTTGATGACCTCCAAGTATGTTGACAACAGTCTGTAACCCGACAGTGGAGGTCAGAGTGCTCAGCAGCCCCTTGAAACAAAAAACACAATGCATATTGCATGTGTGTGTGTTGGCAAGGTGGCTGCTGTCCAGTGATAATAGAGCTCTGCAAATGCCTTTCGCCTCATTACACCTGCGGCGACAGGAATCCTGGCGTTCAGATGGTGACCCGGGGCAAAGTTCAGCTGCCGTTTCTCTGTGTGGTGGGACAGGGGGGCTCTGAAGGTGAGATTCTAGATAACACAAGTGATGCTTGTCCTTGTGTGAGTGTGTGACAGAGAGGAGGGGCAGTGAATTCAGATTTACATCTTCACAAATAGAAAAAGATGAGGCTCTGTCTCCGTTTCATTCATTCCCAGAATAAAAAGGGTCTGCCTACTAAAATTAGAAACCACAAACTCAAGAGTTCACCAAAAGACAAACAACGTTTTCGTCTTTGTCTGCTACTCAAATAACTCATTAACCAGTGGACAGATTTGAATGAACTTTCAGAACGTAACAATTAGATGTACATCTAGGATTTATTTTTAGAGTTAGCATGCTGTTGCAATCATCTGACCTAAGGAGAAAAAAAAACACGAAAATGACTGTAGCTCAGTCATTTGTACAGACACTTGACCAAACATTTGATGTCATAGTAGCTGAGATACTCTAAGCATGGCAGTTTGCACAAGATCTGTTTCAAAAATTTCCAATTCCTTTTTTTTTTTTTTGATGGCCTCCCTTCTCCCCTTACAGCCATCCTCTCCACACCATTATTATGAAATATTTATTATAGTGACATTCTAGTGTAGGGTTTTTTTTTTTTTTTTTTTAATAGGATAGAAAGAAAGAAAAGACAAAGTAAGACTCCAAAATATAAGAAATATATACAAATAGAGCACACTTCAAAACACCCGGCCACTGTCTGTTCACCTGCAAAGAACATGACAAAACACAGCAACAAAATACATATGTATAAAGAACTTAAAATATTCATGGCTTTGCAGTAAGTTTCAATAAATATATATACCCATACCTACGCCTATATACATACATACATACATACATACACATGAATATACACTCACATACATATCTATATATCTACA